CCAAAAGCCTACTGCGCCAAGTCAGTCTGCTACACATATACTATCAGTTTGGTTGAAAAAAAATTACAAACGTTTGTATAATCACAATGTTTTAGTGCTTTAGTGGAGTTCTATACAAAGTATTTGACCTAACGTGCCTTTGTAATTATCTAGTTTTTTTTTTGCAAGCTATTTGAAACTAAATCCGATTTTTAAAAAAAAGCTCTAACCGTGATATCCTTTCGGAGGAAGTCGTCTGGAATGTGGTCGTGGTCCAACTGGAACTCCATGTCTTTAGGATCGGTCGGGCGAAGACTCTGACGAAGGTAGTTTGCTGCTCTTGCTAGGTCAGTTGGTTTAGGCAGACTGGGGCATGGTGCGTCGGTAAGCTCTTCAAGCAACACCTGGTTCACAATGGCAGTCGCAGGCTTGAACAAGTTAGCCACAGCCTCCTTCTTTGTTCGAGCTGTAATCCTAGCAGCGAGGGCAGCTCCGACTTTTCCGGGGTGGTTGTGCTGCTGTTTACCTGGGACGAATTCACCGTCGGCTCTTTGTGTTACTGTGGCCTTACACGGGTCGACCTGAGAAAGAAAAGCAAATAGACCCCGCTTTGTTAAGAACTGCTTTTATATTCGTCGTGCTTGTTACTATTTCCTTCCATTCTATTTCTTATACTTGACATATTCTATGATTTTAAGAAACCAAAAAAAAATCAAAATACCCTTGGTCGGACGGTGCACTGCCAGTCTGTATTATCCCCACGACGTCTCTTAACATTATACGTGTAGCCGTGGTTGTCCACAAGTTTTGTTTTTCCTCTCTTGGTGGAATCCTCGACAAGCTCAAATGTAAGGGAGAACTGACCGGCCGTATTCTCCAGGGTTTGCAGATCAGGATCTTCTAATGATGATTCAGCTGGATCCAGATCAGATTGAAGCCCTAAGGACTTAAGTGAAAACAGAAATTAAGTGGCTAGTAAGATCAGTCGTGATAAACCCGTAGTTATTAATTCGATTAATTATATATATAACCATGCGTAGAAGTGTGGTACACATTGTTAAACTGTCATTTGTCGAACACTTACCATGGTGTGTTGATGTACAGGTGAACGCGAACGGGGTGAACTCGTTACCGAATCGCGAATCCACTGGCTATCGATTGACCAATGCTGAAAAAAGAGAAAGATAATCAGTTATATCGTGAATAATGTGGCTAGTACTCCGATGTTTGATCCCATTCATAGTTATAAACCATACTTACCATTGGTGGGTCATAAATGGTGGAATTCATCTCCTCCTCCAGTCCGGCGGCTTCTGCTTCGGTAAAGTCTGTCGATTAAACAAGTCAAGATGAGAACTGAGGTCTAGCGGATATTTAACTAGCTTATTCAATATAAGAAGAATGTTATCCAACATATCACGAGTAGACTATAACAGCTGACTTACCTTCATCAAATCTGGTGCTCTTGAAGTTGGGTATGTGAGATACCACACAAGTTTGACACTCCCATGGAATGTCAGTTCCAGCTCGGACGGCATTTCTGTACTCCGGACGCGATATGCCCGTGTTGCAAACTCGGTGCTGCCACTTTTGACAGCCGTCGCACTGCAGGACTTCCTGGCGAGTAGTCACGATCAATGTACACGCGATGCACAAATCTTCATCTGCCATGTTGCTTTTTTAACTTTTCCTGAATTTTCCGAATGAGTGATAGACTGAAGGCTATAGTGTTCAAATGAACGGATGGCGATAAAAATGGAAGTAGGCCTTTTATAGCTAAACCCTTGCTTATAACGGATCAAAATTGCAGCCAATTGATTGGTTAATGGAAATTACATTTAGAAGCCTTTATGAAAGTAAACTAATTAAAATGCGTTCAATGCTACAATAACAACAGAGTTAGACAATGCACTAATGCAACAAAAGATTGAACTTTTTTAAAAACTTTTAATTTCGGTGGCAATGAAATGCTGCATCCGATTTATTTGGAATTTAACAGACAGGAAGGATTCAGTTGTTTAAGTTAAAACGAAAATTCCGTCTTTACTTTCTAAGCGCAAAGAGAGCACTAGACAGTAAAAAAAAAAATCACACCTTCTTTCTTATTAGCCGCGCGTGGGACGCTAATTAGCCTTATTGTCATGAAAAGTCACAAGTTCATACAATGGAGTTATAAGCGATAAATTATTTAGTTTTTGATCTTCCCACTCAAAAACTTAATAGTTTACTTAATAGTTTTCAATCGTCGCAGCGTGTCAGTTCCTCCGCTTACTTGCCTATTTTATCGAAGGGAAGTTTCATTCATAATTCACCATAAATTTTTATTGGTTTATGTCACGCTCTTTCAATTGTCAACACTGTATCCAATAGCAGAAGTCGTTAGTTAACTAGCGGAACTTGAATACAATCCATGACTTATATCTGTCAAATCTCACGGCTTGTCTTTCGAATTCAACTTCCCGACATTGCCTGTTTGTGAATGTCAATCGGCATTATCACAGTTGAATTTCTGGTCATCGGTGTCTGCAGTCAGGGTCTTATTTCGCTGAAAACATTGCTTGTAACTGAATTGCTGTTTCGCCATTCGCAATAGCATCTCAGTTTGATATTCCGCCCTTCGCTGTTTGTGAGACGTGATTGCGTAGGTAAAAGTTTCTATTTGAATATACATGTAAAGCTTCAGAAAACTTCAGAAACCTCCAAGAGCTTCTGAGCTTTGAGAGCAATATATAGTCTCGTGCAATGCAATCCGCTTTTGAAACATCGCACAATGTTTCACCACGGTAGTTGCAGTCACGTGCTAGGTAACGAAAAAGTTCACGTGTATCAAGTTCCATCGCGTAAAAAAACAACGCCAATTTTACGAGAGATTAACTCAAACTCGCTTCGAAGTTAAATGCAGGACGACGGCCAAACATAACAAACACAAGATTTTTTTTATCTTGTCGAACGGAAAAGTAAAGGACTTGCAGGTTAGCGTATTGACACTAGTAGATAAACATGAGGCGAACTCGATCGTTTTGGGGGGCGAACCAGGTTCCTTGAGGGGCGAACTATAACGGGGCGAACTCGTTACGGGGCGAAACCACTGGATTCCAAGAAAAGAACTGGGGCAAAGGATTTCCGCCAGCTTGGATCTGGGGAGAGGGTGTTGATGGTCCTTCAGGGTCCTCATTTGCAATATCTCTTGGAGTCCTTGATATAGCCTCATTTGACATCCCAGCCCATTTGATTGGGTACCGCAGCTCAAAAGTGACACTCAACTTCAGGCCAACAAACTCTTGGTTAACAAAGCTTATCGACGGCTGCACTGGCATGATGAATGCAACTGTGCAAGGCTTTGAGCACAAACTTGAATTTGAAATCCATGCAGCTCCATCAACATTCCAGACATGTTTGCTTGGGCCAACTGAGGATGGTTTTGCCCCTGTTTTGGTTGAGAGCTATGTTGCACTTGCTAAATTTCATGTCTATAAGTCGACCTTCAAAGGTTATGAACTGATTGAGACAAGAACATTCAAGTCCGCAGCCTTGGAATTTGGTGGCTTGTATCTTTGCATGGATAAAAATCCTTGTAAAGAAAAGTGGCTTTTGTAGAAGCAGTTTAATATAAAGCAAAGTGTTTTGGTCAACCTTTAAAAAAAAACTGAAAAATTAAAAAAACAATTGGCCCATGATTTTTTATTTTACTATTATTTTTTTACTATTAGTTGCTGCGTTTTTTCAAAAGTAATTTTTATGCAAAAAATAGAGGTTTATTATCTTACCTAGTGGAAAAGTTAGTAGTTTATTTCCCCCTTTACAAAAAGAAAGTATGCAAAGAAGTTATAAATTATCACAGAAAATTTTAAAAAAATAATTTTGATATGTCGTGTGAACCTTTTTTTAAAATATATACAAATACAACTTCATAACAGCAAAAGAAACTATCATGTACTGGTATAAGTTGTAAATTATCATAGAAAATTTTAAAATAGAATTTTGATATCTAAAGAGAAATAGTTTTGTAAATTTTGAATGAAGTCATGTGAACCTTTTTTTACTCTTTTTAATAAATACATGTACAAATTCATAGCAGCAAAAGAAACTATGATTGACTGGTATATTGGTAATTTGGCTCTTTGTGTAATAAAAATTGATACATTTTCATTTTCATGTCTTAGCAAGTGTCACCTGCACTTTAAAACTGCCTCCCCTCCAATGTATTTGCAAACAGAAAGTTGATTCAAGTTTTATAGAATACTGTTAACTACCACCTAAAGCCCATTTACCTGTAAACCACAACAATGCATCTGACTATAACCCCCCCCAGTATAAGCCCCCCTCCAAATGCATTGAAAAGAATTTGATTGTTTATTATTAATGACATTTTGAAGCTTAATTAAAAACTAGGAGATGCAAAATGTATTTTTTTTTTAATTTGTCCAGCACTGCTCTTCTCAAAGTGGTTTTTCTATTTCAGTTAAAATTCCTCTTGAAAATCCATTTATAAACCCTCATAAAACCATTACAATTTACATTACGTGTATATATGAGTTATTACATTCTTATCATTGTCATTATCATTGCCATTGTTCTTATGATGATGATGATAATGATGGTGGTTATTATTATTATTATTATTATTATTATTATTATTATTATTATTATTTTAACTATTTTCTCATTAATATTTGCACAGGTACTAATTGTCCTGGAAACAAAACATTGCATAACTTTAGTCTGGACGAAAGCGTTATCGGCTCCTAGCCTGATCTATTCCCAAGACCTTACGCTTCAAGAATCTCCCACAAAATGGTGGTTGTTCAGAGAAGATTTCCCACAATGACTGGTACATGTGCTACTTTTGTATTCACTCAAAATGTAAGTGCAAGGTCTTGACATTTTTTTCCCGTTTCTCTCTCAGTTTGTTTTCAACGTTCGTTAGGTGTCCAGACTGACGGCTCAAACTTTTTGTATGTCATGATAAACCTCGCCAAGTGTCCAATTCTTTCCTCAGTATTCTTGCAGAGCCTAACAGGCATGCTTTCCCTAACAGATCTAATGCACATGCCTTTTTTAAGGCCTAAAGAACCTTGATAAGTCCCACTGCCACCGTCTTCATAGCTCCAATGCGCAATCAGCATGATCTTCACTTCTTCTGTACTTTTTGTTATTATCAATATCATTATCATAATTCTTATTGTTATTATTCTTATCCTTATTCTTATTCTTCTTATTATTATTCCAAAGTAATAATAATACACTTTTTTTATTTGTTATCGTCATTTTCGTCATCTTCATGTCACTTGAGCAATTTACTTTATGAAAACTTGGGAGAAAAGAATGTTTGTTCTTCACTCCCCCCATCCCCCCCCCCCCCAATCGATACAGCACCCTGTTTAAATTGAAACTAGAACCAACCCCTCAGTCGTATTTATCGTTAAATTGTCGACATGACACGACATCGACCATCCCTATTGGACGGCTGACATCGTAATTCAGCGAATGGGAATAGCCGCTACTAAAATGAAAAACCTGGCCGTATTGATATGTGCAAAGCGAGCAGTCACTCGGTTCCAGTCACTCCTCTTACGACTTTCGCCGGTGCAAACACGAGACGGCTTGTGTGAAGTCTAAATCCAAAAAGAAAACACACGCACACACACTTGGTCTGACGCGTGGAATAAAACCGTTTACCGTAACAGCAACATTAATTTAATTTAATTAAGCAGCACTTCACTGGCAGAATAATATAAAGAGCATAGAAGTATTTGATGTAATAAAATGCTTTAATTTTGGTTACCACTCTAATATGTACCTATGAACTAAGGTAAATATCGATCGCTCTTTTAGTCTATCTTCTTCACAGCGCAAGATATATGTGATATATGTAAATGCAATAATACATTTTAAATACGCTCTACAAAGGCACAACCAGTTTAATGCCACAGGGTGGTTAAAGGGTCGAGGATCAATTATCCACAATCTTCACTGGACCGAATCCCGCTCGGGGACATTTTTCCAATTTATTAAATGGCGCTACATATCACAAGATAATTACACATATTCTTTCTCTGTGACACAAGTCTTCTTGAAATCCCACTACAGATAATTAATAGTTATATGTAATACACAGCTTTGACTGTTCAAGTGAAAAAGTTGCAAAATGTGACATGTTTCGACCAAACGAAACATACAGTTTTCTCAACAGAAAAATTCCATCTGTTGAAAGCAAAAAAAAAAAACGATCATGATATTTTCTTATGGATCAAAAACAGAGTTTTGACCATGTAAACATTTTTCTGTTAAGCATTGATCTTTCTCATATTACTGGCTTGCAAATAGCTGAACTCTTTTTGTAGTTTATTCACTAGATGAGCTCCTCCTGAATATTCCATCATGATAGTGTTTCTGGTTTTCCTTACTGTCGTGTTCGCGTGCACACCGTTAGCGACTACTCTCGTTCCGTTTCCCTTTCTAGCAAACCCCTGTAACTGAATCTTTCTCCTTTCTTGCATTTTTTGGGCTACGGAGCGACGTTCATTATAGCCGAGTAAAGCTCGAATAGATTCGAGCTGTTCTTCGACGTTCCAAGGGAAAGACTGCCTTTAGTGCCACACAACCCATGTTTATAACTTGTTTGGCCGGAGTGAGCAAAAAATAGCACTTGAAAACTTGAAATCAGTACCTGACCTCTTAGTGTTATGGCGGCGAAGTGAACTTAACTGACAGAAAGCGCGGTGTGACTAACTAAATGAAATACAGATATTTTCACATAAATTATTTTAGGTGCGGACAAAATAGAAATAAATCGACACAAAAACAGAAGAACGTGACAATCAAACGTCACAATTTAGTAAGAAAGCTGCCCCCTCACTCCTAGTTACTCTTACAGCCTTTGACGTCTTCAGCTTTTTGTGATGGCCAGGGGCCGATGGCACAGACTAATGAAGTAACTTTATAGCAAAGCCTTAAAAAAAAATACGCTACAAAATACCGCAGGTTTTTCTCATGGAAATCAGCGAACTTCAACCAGAATATTAACGGACTCTTGATCTATTCAAGAGGAGAGCATGCAAGTACTTCACTGTAGCTATGGTTATACAATGAATGTCACGAATCGAGGAAGGGCTGTAAAATCTCTTTTCTTAAGTTTCTACGTAGATTAATTATTAGCGTTGCAAGTAGATAATGTTTCTCTCTCAGCAATCCGTTAGAAATTCCGTACCAAAAAATGTAATCTATTGCTGTTACAAATTTTATCGTTTAAAAGTGCAATATGGCATCCCGTGCGAACACTGTAAAGCTATAGTCTTTCATGGTGTTTAGGAAGTGACTTTTGATCAAGTTAACATTTTTCCGCTACACATTGACCTTTTTCATATCACTCGGTTGCAAATAGTTGAACTCCCTTTGTAGTCGATTCACTCATGAACTCCTCCTGGATATTCCGTCATGGTCGCGTTTTTTGCGCCGCTCGTGAATCTACTCTCAGCGATGACACATTCCTTTCTCTTTTTAACATGATCCTGTATTTGAATTTTTCCCTTTTCTGACGTTTCTTGGATAAAAGAACGATGTTCGCTATGGTGCATTTTAACTCCGTAATAATTTGCATTGTTCTCTGACATTCTAGGACGGGCATCCACTTTTAGTGCCGCATGATCCCATTTTGTGCATAACTGTTCTAGAGTAAGTGAAGGAAAAAATTACCCGCACAATTGAAAGTCGTGATCATTCACTTGGCTTGCCATGAACTGAACTAAATGAAACACGTTTTACGACCAACGCAATGCTCAGTGATATATTCACGCAGGCTTTCATGAAATACTGCAGACTTTCTCTGGAAAAATCTAGTAACGTCAATGAGCTATATAAAAAGAATCCTTACAGAAAGGGACCATTTTGTAGCAACGTCAATGTTCCTATGATTACGGACTGTCACGTGAGAAACTCAGCCTATTTCCCTCATACAGACGTAATGATTCGCCCTTTTATTCATTTATTTCTACCAAGAGTTGAATTTGCATGCGAATTCTCCAAATATATATCCTCAATTGGCGACCGGCCAAAACAATGCTAAAAATGCTTCGCTTTGCAAAACGCTTTTTAAGAATAAAAATAACCAATGTGTTAGCCAAATTCTTAACTTTATCTAAAACTTAAAAGATTTTTTCTCCTTGCTTTATGCCTGCTTTGAGGAGAATTTGGATTCACCAATATAAATTCAGCAATATGAGATCTATATGCATGACGCTCAACTACGTCATTGTGTCAGTAAGGTTATGTGTAGATGTAGAAAATGATGGGTACATTATTTAGTGTGATTTTGGTGGCCGTATCATGAACTGCTTTGAAGTTATATACAGGGTAGGAGCCTCCTATGCCCCACTGTCCTACCGTCCCACCTCTAGTCGTAGAAAATTAGGGTTAATAAAAGAGGCTAGCAATGCTCTCCAAACCACCACTGAGTGGTCGAATCATCATTCGATACACATCTGTGAACTGGATTGACTGCTTTATAAAATCCGAAATTATCTTCGCCTCCGTCTGACTTCACGGCATCTCCGGATGGGCTGGTAAACTGACACGCTATCGATGGAGCCCAATGCGAATCAGTATGCGCATGCCAAAAATCCCTTTGGACGAAGTGAGCGGTGCAATTAGTACAATTATATCCTCGGATGCTAATAAATTCGTATTTTTTGCATCCATCAAAATTCAGGCGCATAACATCGATTTCGCTTAACTTGGCCCTGAAGTAATCTCTGTATTGAAGTTCTTCAGTGTTAAAGTTGCACGTTGCTCGCACGTGCGTTGAGCGGTTTGCTGTGACTATCATACGTGGCAATGATAACCGAAACTTGCTCCATGTAAAAGCGTCCTGAGTTATCGGATAGCCCTTGTAAAACGGTTTCTTCGCAAATTCGTTTTTATTGCGACGGCTGAAAGATTCGATAAGCGTCCAAACGAATCCTTTTTCAGAATTAGCATCACAGAAGACCTCGTACAAGGATATAGTCTTTGAGTCAAACAGTTGATAGACTCTGGACCTGCTCCCTCTGTTTTTCTGCAGCTGCTCTTTGCAAGATGTTGCTCTTCGTTTTTGACACAATCTGCCGTAATATTCCACAGCGCATGTGCAGTTGAACTTGTTTTTAGTGTCTTCGCATAACACAGTGCAGGTGCCTCCATTGGCGCATGGATTCTGATTACAGCACTGGTAAATGAGTGGTTGCTCTTTATCAGCCCTCTTTGCACATGTCTAATATAGTACAACGGGAGAGTATGTTAAAAGTGTTCATAACGATAATATTATTATTGGCTCGACCCTCTCCGGCTTTTGTATTGTGTATAATTAAAATTATTACATTTTTCGAATGGAAGCTCCGCTTTTAGACTTGCCAAATTTCACTCGCATGCAAACTCCAAAGTATTTTGTCTACTGAACCAAATTCCTTGATAAACTATCAACAATATAGGCAGGTTTGGAAAGATCTCGGCGCCCGTACCTCCTTTTTAATTCAGTTCATGCGTCAAGCATGCAAAAGAATAATCAATAAAGTTTTTTTTTTTTTCCTTCCGTGTTGTTTTTTATAGTCAGTCTCATGTCACGAAATAAGAAAGGAAAGAGAGGAGTTAATTGAAGTGAGTTTCAGATGTTGTTCATTCATCCAAACTTTCACGATTCGAACAACATGTACCATGACGGGTAGTTTAATCAAAAGTTCTCAATTTCAAACAAGAAGACGTAAAGGGGTCTCTCACGAAACGAGGATGCTGGAATTTAAGAAAAAATACTTTAAATTACCAAATTAATTATTAAAAGAGGAATTTTAAAACTGAGATATGTTTAAGCCTGTTACAAAACACTGGAATATCGTTTTATTATTATAATAAACTGAACTAGTTCAGTGACGACTTAAAAATGAATATAAAGACGAAATGCAATCGCTACTCTTATTAAGAAGAATCTTGACAGAATTCGTCAAAACGACTCTCCGTTCCTTTTTTTTTCCATTAGCAAAGCCGGGACAAGATTTGACAAGATTGATTCGTTACCTGGTGGTCGACGTATTCTCTATTCATATCATAGTACGTATACTCCTTTTCCTCCAGAAAGTCTTCAGGGGCTGAAATCCTGTCATCATCCAGCAACTCGCATCGATTTTGTCTCATTTGGTACGCCTGGCATTTGCATCTCTCTTCGAAGCATTTTACATGACAGTCATACGGTTTCGACAGCGTATAATTTTTAAAGCTGTGTCCTTGCATAGCACGATCTTTGATACCCGTTTTACTAATACTTCCTCTGCTCTGTTCGCATTTTCTCGGGCAATCTGCTGTCAATTTCAAACTGCCGATATAAAAAAATATCGAAATAAGAAGGAAATAGTTCGCCAGTGACATAGTTGTGAGGTTAAATAAGGAACAGGATATTCTTCCAAGAGTTCAGTTTCTTATCAAATAAACAATCTGTTTACAATGAAAGACAGTTTTCGCAAATGAAAAGTGATTTGTATAAAAAAAGAAAATTTCATATTGTACAAGTATACATTTTATAGAGCTGTCATCCAGCTGAATGGCAAACTGTTTGAACAGCAGCAACTCAGCTTGTGCTTGCCATTTCTCCCTGCCGGCTTCCTAGTGAATGGAATTGTAGGATACAGAATCGTCATCAGATTTTTCTGATTGCATATATTTTTTTCCCTCCCGTTACTGCACGTAATTAAAAACACACCCGAACAATAATTTATGGAACACGCCAAATCTAGTTAGCGACTGTTGAGCGAAAAGTCAACATCTTTCACATTAATGTAAAATTTGTCTACTAACACCCAACAGCAAACATCAATCACTGACTTCAGTTGTCGCATTGAACATGTACCTTATCTTGTAAAGCGATTTTATAAAATGGTCAAGAGCGCGTTAAGAAAAAAACGATTGCTGAAATGACAGTTATACTTTTCGCCGTATTTGATATTTGGTAGTTCTTTGATGTCAAATAGAAACTATGTATAATTTATATATGTATATAAATTTTAAATAAATAAATACGTAAATAAATAATCAAACTACAATTAAGTGCTCGCAGTACCTCTAGCAAAAAAATTAATTCGAACAGCACCCAACGATATCTTTATTATTTACCAGAACTAAAGACGCGGTAGAAACTAAAGTAAATGAAACATTAAATTCTACGACTGTTAGCCACGGCCAGGTGCTCCTTTTATTAGTATTTCACTTCTGCGGTTGATTCCTCCTGCTGTCTTTATTAACTTTAATTTAAATAAAAATTCAAAGGATATTGATATAAGTTAATTTCTCAGCAATATAACTGGTTGTAATTTATCTCGTGATACGCCCGCCCCATAACATACAATGTAAGCAGCATTGTTTAATAGCCTGCGAGCAAGCTCTCCGGGGCGTTCTCAGGTTTAAAAACTCTCAGCTTCGCCAGGAGTTTTTAAACCTGATAATACACTCCTGCTCGTTTTTGAAACAGTACTTAAAAATTCAAGCGCTTACACGTACGCTTACACTTGTTCCAAAGTTATCAACTCTCTCAAGCGATAGAATTCGTGGACGGACCCGTTCCGGAAAAGCTCTAAATCGCATTTATCTTTCCTGAGCTTTTTTCACAAAACATGCGTGCCTTAGGTCACGCAACGATTCTTACTCCCAGTTTCCACGATCTCCGCTAAGAACGCCTGGGACCACGGCCTCCCTTTTGTGTCCTAAAATTAATACGAAGAAAAACGGCTTGCAGATTATGAGTCTCCCTGCTTACGCAAGCGAGACTAACGAAGGTTTTCAATCATTTAAAATGAACATAAAACATGAGAATGGAAAAACCAGCACTAGTCGATGCAGAGAGAAAACTCCTATGTTTCTTTGTATTTTACCAATAATAAAGCGATACGCATACTCCTTTGATTTGTAATATTGATAATAATCAGGGGCACCAAACGCGCATATAGTTCAAAACCACTTAAACATAGCATTATCAAATGTATTTTAGTATTTAAACGGTAGGTATAGGCATATTTTTATCCCCTAAAAATTTTTCATCTGTTCGGATTTCCTGGCTGAAAGTCTAGTGATCCGAAAATTATAGGGATCAAAACTTACCTTTTCCAAAATTTTAGCCAGAAAATAGGCTCCCGAAAATTCTAGGTGAACTTTTTAGGGTAAAAATTAGTTAAAAATGGGCAAGTATACCATTTTTTATTTGTTCGAAAATCCTAGGAGAGGCATGCAAGCAAGAAATTTTACAACAAATGTTCCGAAAATTCTAGATCTCAAATCGTCTTCCGAACAGATATTTTCCCGAAAATTGTCGTTGGGTGCCCCTGAATAAATCGACATTAAGCGATACGCATACTCCTTTGATTTTTAATATTGTAATTATTCATTCATTTGCGTGCAAATATCGTAATTAAAACAACACTCAGCCGTGTGCCACATGAACCCATGGCCATGCACACATAATTGGTCCAGAATAAACGAACGAAAAACTTATACTAACACTACTGAAAATCGGGATCAGTCACTTGGCGTGCCGTGAACTGAACTAAATAAAACAAGTTCTACGACCAACGCAATTGCTAATATATTCACAATTTATTGTTATTATTCACACTATTTTAGGAGTGGTATAAACAGAAATGAGAAAGATGCTAAAACACGAAGAAGCGACAAAACAAACGTGACGGTAAGAAAGATAAACGTGCACGTTTCTCTACATTTTTTTTTTCAACATATTTTTGAATTTTAGCCGATAACCTTATTGATCTTTATTGCAAAAGCATTATAACACATGTATTACATATCGAATTATCTTTATAATGATATTAACTTTGGACGATCGAAATAAATATCACGTGACAATGAGTTCATAATAGTTTTAGCTCTAACCCGATTTAATTTTAGCCCGTATCGATATTTTCTCTAAAAATGCTTTACGCTACGTATACTTTTGGAGCTTGTCTTCTGTTGTGCAAATTTGCACAACAGAAGACTATGTAGACAAGTTTGCTACTTATTAGTTGTTTCCAAAACGTTTTTATCACTCATTCGTTTGCAAATGGCCCTTACACATTCTTCAAACCGTTGAACGCACGTAGACTTGCGCGATTTCGAAACTTGAAAACGTGTATCAGGGTAAAACGCAATGGTGGGCTATTTGTGTCATTTCTAAGGATTCTCTCACGAAAATAGCCATTAAACCAGAATTGGTCAGTAGATTTTCCTTAAGAATTTTCAGTGCTACAATTGATCAGTGTACTGTAAAATCCTCGAATTTCGTGGCCATCGAAAACTTTTGAAATTGTCTAATGTAGGCGAAAAATTGGGTAATTATTGAATTAATCTAGTCTTGATCTGTGATTTCCTATTGTCTCGATTTCACTCAAGGTCCCATTCAGCACGCGAGAATTTAACGCACTTGGTTACGCTTCGAAATCTTTCCGGAATATCGTAATGTTGGAGAAATGGAGGAATTAATGGTAAATAGAGGTAACCTTTTATATAACATTACCATATTTCGAAAGATTTTGGAAAGAAAATGCTAATACGGGCTGAAATTCGATTCCTGGCAGAAATTCGATTCCGGCTGCCCCAATAATAATATCGTAATAAGGTTTAGTCTATATGTAATACATGTGTTACATTGGTTTTACGTAAAAGAAATCAATTTGTTTAAGTATAATATATAGATTTAGCCAGGGCCAAAAACGAAGCCTCCGTAATCAAATTTGAACTAACAAGCTCTAAGCTACAAAAAAATATCTTTTAATCCCTAATTAACTCTATGAGCCTTCTGCATCAGTTTACCTTTGGAAGGAGGGTTAAATGATTAAGAAAAACTATCCCGCAAACACACCTGAAAGAAAAAACCTCTCCCAGCAAGCTGAATGTCGCATATATATAGCTAAAAAAATCACTCTGCATCAAGTTCAATCACCCCACCACACCCCTTTGCGAAGTTATAGGTCTCTGCAGTAGCAGCAATTAATTATTTGGACGTCGCCCAAATAGAGTTATCGAGTTCGCTTGTTTTGATCGATTCAAAGTGCTTGTTACAATAGGCCCGCAATACGTGCGAGCGTGAATAATCGTCGTCTCAGCACACGGTGTCAATAGTTTGGCTTATTGCCAAGAGTTTGACAATATTTTGCTCTCCGTTGTCGAGCGCCAAAGAAGATGTCACCCAAAATTCCATGATCTCGTGCACGAGTTAATTAAGGGTAACACTGAAAGATACATATTTTCATTGCATATTTTCGGAAAGGTGATTTCTTAAAATCTTATTGAGCGAAATGACATGGTAAACAAGTTGCATTCTTTCACGGTCGAACAGTAAAAGGGGCAGAGTCCAACATCTTCACGTGCAAACCGCGTTCTACTTTTGAAAGCTTTCGGTTAACTAGATTAAGGCCCTGTCCACACGTATCCGTTTTCAATTGAAAACGCAACTTTTTCTTTACGGATACGACATTCGTCCACACATATCGATGAAAACGATCAATGAAAACGGAACTTCTCGAAAACGCTCTCCAGAGTGGAACGTTTTGAAAACGCTGTTTTCGCGTGCACGTGTGGACAGACGAAAACGGAACTCTTTGAAAACGTTGAGGACACACTATCAGTTCCAATCCACTCCACACAATATTAGAAATTTAGTCAAGATGGCGGACGGGCGCTTCCCTTTCTTGTCTTTTATACTTGGGCTTATTTCTAACCTAATTGCTAGTTTCTCAAGCAAATTTAGCTTTGTTAATTGCTGATTATTCCATTGGGCGGCAGAAAATTATCCGGCTACTTTCACTACCGGTTTCAAGAGGTGGAAGGTTGGATCTCCCTTTAGCAGGAGCCCATCAAATGGAGCCTCCATATCTCCATTAATTTCTTGAGTCAACCCTTTCCCGAGTAGATTTATAAATAGAACGGCTTGTTTCCCGCGAAAAGTGTCATATTTCCGTGAGTCTCGTATGTCACCGTGAAAAAATAAAGTTGTATGAAGTCGAACTCAGAAGCCCGTTTTCCCCCGTTTTTCCTTTATACTATACGTCCATTTTTACGATTTTACAGCCGCTGGGTTCTGGGTATCATGAAATAAAAGTTAATGAATTACCCGACTGAGACTGAGCATGAAACGATGGGACAAAGGCATCGAACTGAGGATCACTGAAAGGTTATCTTTGCGAGATTTTTATCTTTATTTATTTTATTATTATCATTATTTATTTTTTTTTTGCCGTTATACTTTCCACATGTAAGCATGCACTTCGAAAAGAGTCGACGATTAAGCGTTCTGTGGACGATTTGGAACTTTTCGATGATCAGCGCCAGGATCATTTGATTTTTGTCATCATCGTGGAGTGGATTTAACCAGTTAAGCAGCGCGTGCTAAAAACGATGACCTCAGTAGCAACTAACGAGGAATGCTTTAGTTGCGAAATTTGAGAAATTGCAGTCTTCCTTTACAACTGAAAAATGAACTGACTTGTACTGCCATGAGTGTTGCCTGATAAAACTGGCACTTGAAAAGTGGAACAGAACAGAACAGTTGCTCGAATGTGTAACGGAGAAATTTGTGACATCGCGCTCAAGTCCAAAGACCCACTTATCTCAAGAAAGACAAAATGGATTGTATCTGCGTCTAAAGAATTATGACTGACTAACAGCGGACGATTCTCAGCAGTTAATGTAGCTTAAGTTTAAGCTCAATTATTTCCTTCGAATTGGCATCTGTAGATCACTTTTCGTGAGAAAACAATGTTAGCTGGGCCCGGCGTTACTAAACATAGCAAGGAATGATCACACTGACGAAAAAAACAGCTACAAGGACTACATGTACAAGTATTTATTGAGATAGACGTATTGCTGAAAAAAAACTTTAAAAGTAGAAACTTGATTAATATAGAGTCATTTAGCGGAAATAAGAACCTTTTAAACGCTTAAAAACATTAGCTAAAGAAAACCGGTACTAGAATCGAACCCTGTCAGAACTACTGACAGTAGGAAGTAGTTAATCATTATGCATGGAACAGACCAGCTTCATGGCCTCTTAATGTGAGACAAGCAGCCAAAATAAAGATTAACATAGTCAAAGTTTAAAATTCTCCACAATATAATCTACCCGCTACAAAGAAAAGACTGAGGGATGAAAGCGCTAAAGTCACGTTTCACTAGCTTATGATTGTGTTTGGCCTGTCAACACCATATTTCTTGCTGTATGATGAAGTACAATAGCACTATCATTTCGTCGTTGTGATTGGCTCTTCCCACTGTCAGCGAGCGAAGTCTCCTCTGGGAACCGTTCCGATTATAAATCTACTCGGGAAAGGGTTGACTCCAAGGGCTTGTATGGGAGATGGAGGCTCCATTTGATGGGCTCCTGCCTTTAGTTTGTCTTTGTCTTTGTTTTTGTTTTGACATTTTAAACTGTTTCTGTGACTTTGAAGAACGTCACAACAATAAAACCAACGCCAAAGAATTTCAAAGATGGCGCTAATTTATTATTTCGTGGGCTCATAATATGCGAACGCCTATGCGTCAAGCATGAGCAGTCGGGTAAGTTGTCGTTTTCAAATCGATTCATCGTATACGTTTGGACAGGCGAAAACGATGCGAAAAAGCTTTGAGTGGACGCGAATTTGTTTTGAAGACGGAGAAAAAAAGTTACGTTTACAAACGAATACGGATACGTGTGGACAGGGCCTAAGTGCTTTACAATACAACTAACAGTAAGGGCCTGATCACATGAGCCGGGGAAGCAATGCGCATGAACAGTTTGTTACCCGCTGTCCTGTTTCTCGCTTGGTTCATTCGCCGGGCCGCCCGGCAAGCGTGATTACTTGGAAAATGACCACCAGGGAACCCGGTATCACAAAGTACAGGGATTCCAGCTAACCGGGCTGGCTGGGTTGTCATATAATCGCAAAGTTGATTTTTGTTGCGTTTAACT